AAGCTGTTCTCTACCGGTGGGTAAAAGGGTGAGTGCTTTATGTGTGTACTGTGTATGCTTGTGGCCACGCATGTGGTGTTTACATCCGCACCATTTGCTTCTTTTTCCAAAAAAAAAAGAAATACTGAAAAAAAATGTTTTCACACATGCTAATTTGAAACCCGAAACTTGAGGGGAACGAGGTTGCCTCTGGAATTGAAACTGCTCGTTTGGTGCGACTGGTGGAGAGGAATAGGAACCTTCTGTTGAGAAAAGTCTTTGCTTTTCTGTTGTTGCATATGGCCACTTGGCTTGTTTTCCTGTTCTGATCAACTATATATGCTCAGGGGCTCAGGAAAGATCACATGTCGGCCACTTAATAGAATAGTCTATTTTTGTTTGGTATAAGCCCTCCTTTTTTAATTTTATTTTTACTTTTAAAATGGACGCGGGAGAGCTTCTTCCACGCACGCTACTGCCTAAGAAAGGATGCATGTCTACGTACTGGCTCCCGGTCACATAATCATGTTGTTTAGGATAATTCTTTTTATCAAACCTTAAAAACTACCAACTTCAATAAGTATTACATTATTTAATTAAAAACATGTAAGTTATACACGTTTAACTATACTAAAACTACTTGCATAGTCTCTGACTTTCGAGTGGCAAATAATGTAAAAAACAATAAGGTCCTTTAGATCCTTAGAATTGAGTTTATTTTAATAATTAAAATTTAGACACAGATTCATTAATCTAATATGATTGTATATAAAATCTTGCGCAATGGCATTACATGCATAACAATCTAGAAAAACTCATGCGTCGATGGAAGACTTTCCTGCTAACTAATGGTTCCATGCCTTTAGGCGACATCAGGGGTTGAAAAAAATATGAGCTACGAGTAGAGTATATTAGGGGTGTTTTGACCGGCGCCGCCTGTTGAACTGCAGTGTGGTTGCTTGTGTCGTTTGGAACAAAAAGGCAACTTCAACTCTTCAAATAAAGTTCATCCATAGCCCGGTTGAACCGTTGAATTGTTGCACAGGATTGTTTTTTTATATAGAAAATGACGAACGTACACTTGCTGCTGCGCGCCGGCGCATGAACAAGTCCGGCTACCTTGGTGTGTTGAACACGAAGGCGTGTGTTTGGCTTGCTGATTCTGTCAGGAATCCTCCGTCAAGATTCTACAAGAAGATACTAAAAAAAAACTAGTACTGCCTCCCTCCAAAAAGATTGCACCTGGTTGGGTCAAAACTCAAATTATACTATAAAAACCATATTTTTCATATTACAAATCTGATAATACTTACTAGATATATGCCCGTGCGTTGCACGGAGCTACAGATCGAATGACAATTAGTTTATATTTATTTTTTATAGATCGGCATACATGTACGTATACGAGCGTATTCCTTTAATTATTTTGTGAGTTCAAATTAGTCATCATGACATCACAATGACATCACATGTCCTCACGTCCGGATGGCCACGCACGGACGTCGGTCACCACGCATCAAGTCACCGGGGCCTGGTAATTGCCGATCTTGTAGCTGGAGGTCTCATGTTGCTGGAGGCCACCACGCAGCTCGGAAGTCTCAATGGCTGCAGACTGCAATCTCACCTGTGCGAGGCCATTCCTTTCCTATCCCCTCACAGACCCTGCACAACTGCGAGATTGCTCCTTTTCATGCCCTTCCAAAGGATTTCCCCTCGCGTGCATGTCTCGAGGCGGCGGGATGTGTAATCCAAGATGCCGAATGCGTGGGGGCGGGAGATCCAGGCTTTTTTGGAGTCCTAGAGAGGATAGTGCCCTTCAGTCCACGCAGCGATAGCACAGCATTGGCCGAGGCGGGCAGATAGATCTCCGTTCGCTCTGCACGTGCAGAGGAAGACATCTATAATCGGCAACACCCGTTGACGCCGCTGTAACGAAGGACGGGGCAACTCCGTCAAGCTTTGCACGCTGGGTCATGCTTGTAACCGGGCGACGGGAGGTTGCCGATGCACAGCACTCGGTGCTCGCGGAACGCCCGGTGCCAGTAGAACCCGGCGCCGCGATGAAAGTGCACGGCTCTGGCGTCAGCGACGACAGGGTAGCCCACTGCCGCGACAAGGAGCTTCGAAATTTAACTAGGGCCACGTTTAACTAGCTACAGTACATTTTGTTTTTATTTGGTAATAGTTGTTCAAACATTGACTAATTAGACTCAAAACGTTCGTCTCGTAAAGTACAACTAAACTGTGCAATTAGTTTTTGATTTCGTCAATATTTAGTACTCCATGCATGTACTGTAAGTTTGATGTGACGGAAAATCTTCTTTTTGCATAGTGCTAAAGTTGGTAATTTGGTGAAACTAAACAGGCCCTAGCCCTATACGTGCTTTTGGAATTAAACTTGTGAGCTCATACGTACTTTGTCCTTGAGCTTGTACGTGTTTTTTTATTAAAATAAAAATAAATTAACGGCGAGGTGGCACCTGACTGTGGTATGGTATGTGCTTCCGTTTATAGAGCTCGTACGTGTTTTTTCCTTGAGCTTGTACGTGACTTCTTTTTATTAAATTAAATTAAATAAATGGCAAGGTGGCAGAGGCTGGTACGTGCTTCCGTTTATAGGTGCATCCGACGCGGACTCGATTACGGCAGGCGAGGCGATGGATTAGTTGATCTGACGATGACGTTGGATATTTCTTAGGTGTAGAAGATTTAGTATGGTAATATTAGTATCATTTTATAAATTTGATTAAATGTTAAATCATTTGATTTAGCAATATTTTAGAATTGTATTCTTTTGGATACAGAGAGATCGAGAGAATCTCAGTCTAATCAGCTGTAGAAAAATACAGTTGCTGCAGTAGCTATGGCTTTTTCTTCTCTTTTATTAAATTACAGTGGTAACATGTATAGTAGGCTACAGCGGCCAAATAATCCTTTACCCCCTCCGTCCTTTTTATCTAGGATTAAGTCCACTTTTAACACCCCAACTAATTAAGTGCGGCATGCGGTGAGGGTGGATCTGCCCCATCCACCTCTAGCGAGGGCGGATCGAGGCGTGGCGGCGGTGGATCAGGAGGCACGACGGTGAGGGCGAATCTGCCCCGTCCACCTTCTGTGAGGGCGGATCAAGGTGCAGCGGTGGCTGATCCGGCAGGCTTGTGCGTAGGAAAGCCTCACCCGGCGGAGATGGCCGTGGCAAGCGCCGTGCGTAGCCGGGAGACTGCCGTGCGGCACTTCTTGCTGCGCTGCTTCGGTGGAGGTGGCGCCTTGGGCGACGGGGACATGAAGTCGTCCGAGTGGAACGACGGGCAGCTGGAGGAGAACACCATGGCTGACTCGTCCTCGTCGTCGGCCTCCGAGCAGCACGGCAGCGCGCGGATGTCGCCTCCCTGCGCCACAGCCGAGCTCGCTGGTTCTGCCAAGCCGGTTCCGCAGCAAACCACGGGAACAGGCTGCGGGCACGAAGCTGCACAGGGACAGGGACCGCAGGCCGCGGGCGCCTCCGCGGGGGGCAGCCAGCCATAGGCGTGGAGGTCTTCGCAGGGGCCGCCTAGCCGCGAGGAGCGGAGCCGCAACCGTGGGCGTGGAGACCACCGGTGGGCGTGCGGAGGTCGCGCAGGGCCGTGGCGCAAGAGGCTGCGCGGGCTGGCTGCTCGTGGTGGGATGGACGCCAAGCAGTGGGGCAGAATCGGGTGGGCGGGGTCAGCTATCCATGGTCAAGGCCGGTGGAGGGGCGGTCGACGATGTGGCCTCGGGCGAGCGGCCGACGCCGGGGATGGAGATGACGCCACCACCGAATGCCGCTGGAGCTAGAGGAAGGAGGGGAGGGAATGAGTGGGTGACGTGTGGGCCCCATATGTCACTGAGATGCAGGCCAGCGTCCAACGTGGCGGTCAACGCCAGCGTGGCGTGGTCAAAACCACTCAACGTCGGTCAAAACAGCCTTGTCCCTGCCCAGGTGCTAAAAGTGAACGGTTTTAATAGTTGGGGTACCGGTACTAGATGGTTTTGTAGTTGAGGGTTAAAATTAGACCAAAACAATAGTTGAGGGGTCAAAAGTGGACTTAATCCTTTTATCTATCGTTCTCATTTTCCAAGAAGTCAAACATACTCAATTTTGACCAGATATATAAGAAAATATTAATATTAATATTTATTATACATAATTAGTATCATTAGAGGTCGTTGAATATACTTTTATAATAACTTTATTTGAGCTACAAATTTTGCTAATATTTTTTATAAACTTAGATAAACTTGAGAAAGTTTGATCAGCACGGATATGTTTACCTTTAGTTCTTAGGCCCCCCAGCCTCCACATCAGTCTGTAACTGCGATGTCAAATGGATCAGAAGCCACGGAGAGGGTCGAAATGACCTCAGTAAGGAAGTCATTGTCATCTGTCCACTGCCTGCAATGAGCCTGTCCTTGTCTCTTCTGTCACTAGTTGCGCTAGTTGCATGCAGGTCAGTAAACCGATCGATCGATCCAACTGATGTCTGCCAGCCTAATTCTAAATCTGAGCCCCGTTTAGATCCTTAGAATTAAATTTATTTTAATATAATCATAATTTATATATATATTAATTAAGTTAATATAGTTGTATATGGATTATATCTATATATTATTGTTAGCTATATAAGAGACATACTTATGTGTTGTATTTCTACCGTAGAGGAGTGAGTTGTAAAGTAGAAACATAGGATGATAATCCATAGAATCAATTTTCATCTCTCATCTTATGAATTTGAGATAGACTTATATGTGAACTTTGAAAGTGATGAAATATTAAATTTCAAGCCAAATAGACTAATTTATTAAGTAGATTTTAATTCCAACAAATGAAAGGATCCTAACAGCTCGTAATGTTTTGCAGAAACGCATGCGGCCATTGAATTACCAGAGACGGTGTCAGTTACTAGTACTTAGCAGAGCCCTATTTATAGCCCCCATGGCGAATGGGGATGCCCAAGCCTCAGCCCTCAGCTCAGCTAGCACCGTTAAGCAACAGCTAGCTAGCAATGGCGGTGCAGGTCATCGTAGAAGGCAGCAGCAGCTCGCCTCAGCAATGGCAGCTCACGGTCGTCATGGCGGTTCTCGTCCCTCTGCTCTTGCTCCTCCTTGCAAGAAAAAGAAGAGCAGGAAAGAGCTGGAGCAGCAAGAAAGGGCGGCGCGTCCTCCTCCACCTGCCGCCGGGCCCGTCGAGGCTGCCGATCCTGGGCAACCTGCACCAGCTGGGCGCGCTGCCGCACTAGAGCCTGCGGGAGCTGGCGCGCCGCCACGGTCCCGTCATGCTGCTGCGCCTGGGCAGCGTGCCCACGCTGGTGGTGACGTCGGCGGACGCCGCGCGGGAGGTGATGAAGGCGCGCGACGTAGATGAAAAATTGTAAGCATTGATGTGAAGATAAAATGGCGAGTCTGCATTATTTTATTTTAACTTCACATTGATGTAAGCATGTAAATTGATGCAGCTTCCCCGACACGCCGGGGGCCCGGCGCCTGTCGTACGACCACAAGGACGTCGCCTTCAGTCCCTACGGCGACTACTGGCGCGAGATGCGCAAGCTCTTCGTCGTCGAGTTCCTCAGCGCGCGCCGCGTCCGGGCCGCTGATTACGCCAGGGAGGCCGAGGTAGGAGATGATGATGAGTGCATCGTCCATGTATTGCCGTCGTGATCATAGGGCACTCACTATATAAAATGGCGTACAGGTGGACAAGCTGATCGGCAGGTTGAGCAGCGCCGGCGGCAAGGCGGTGCAGCTGGAGGACCACATCTTCGGGCTCATGGACGGCGTCATCGGCACGGTGGCGTTCGGGAACATCTACGGCACGGAGCAGTTTGCGCACAAGATGCACTTCCACGACGTGCTGGACGGGGCCATGAGCGCCAAGGCCGGCTTCTCCGCCGAGGACTACTACGCCAACGCCGCCGGCCGCCTCGTGGACCGCCTCACCGGCGCCGCCGCGCGACGCGAGAGGGTGTTCAGGGACCTCGACGCCTTCTTCGACACCATCATCGACCAGCACCTGGTGGACCCGTCCTCCCGCGCCACGACTCCCGGCGGCCACGGCCCCGACCTCATCGACGTCTTCGTCGACCTCATGGAGGAGCGCCGCCAACGGCGACAGGTCGACGGCTCTCTCCGCTTCACTAGGGACCACATCAAAGGGCTGCTCTCGGTACGCCACGCGTCGTGTTCGTTCACACTCACACTACTCACTACTCAGCGACAGATCATCCATTGATGCATGCATGTTACACTGTATTATTATATTAATTGCAGAACGTGTTCACCGCTAGCGTGGACACGAGCTCGGTGACCATGGTGTGGGCGATGGCGGAGCTGATCCGGAGGCCGGCGATGCTGAGGAAGGCGCAGGAGGAGGTCCGGTCCGTGGTGGACGGCGGCGGCAGGGAGAGGGTGCACCCCGACGACGTGGCGAAGCTCAGGTACCTGAAGGCGGTGGTGAAGGAGACGCTGCGGCTGCACCCGGCGGCGCCGCTGCTGCTGCCGAGGGAGACGCTGCGGCAAGTGAGCATCTGCGGGTACGACGTGCCGGCCAAGACGCGGGCCGGTACTGGTCAACGCGTGGGCCATCGGCAGGGATCCCCGCAGCTGGGGGGACAGGCCCGAGGAGTTCGACCTTGGCAGGTTCGACGGGGACGACGGCGTCGTCGACTTCAACGGCACGCACTTCGAGCTCGTCCCCTTCGGCGCCGGCCGCCGGATGTGCCCCGGCATGGCCATGGGCGTGGCCACCGTGGAGTTCACGCTGGCCAACCTGCTCTACTGCTTCGACTGGGAGCTCCCGGAGGGGGTGCGGGTGGAGGACGTGAGCATGGAAGAGGCCGGAGGGCTCGCCGTCCACAAGAAAACGCCGCTCCTGCTTGTCCCGACAAGATACAAGTGTTGATCATCAGACTGTCAGTAGTCGTCAGTGCTTAGCTACTGCATATGATGACCATTTTATTAGCAAGCCTTGCATTTTTTTATTACAGCAGAAAAACGCTATATAGCTCTTAACGTTTATTTGAGAATATTATACATATTACTAATATAAGTTTACAAGGAGCGTATGTAGCGTTCATGAATTAAGCGCGGGTCACCTGTGTACAATAGAGTTATTGTATACTGTAGATGTAGATGACAGTGGTAAATTATTTTGATATGAAATAATAATGGTGCCATACCTTATAGATTGGTTCGATTTAAATTAAAGGGATTGCCCACTTCATACTTGGGTAAAAATGTTCTAACATACTACGCACTTTGTCCCATAAAAAGAGCCGTTATGTGATTCGTGCTGGTCAAAGTTACGTGATTCGTACTGGTCAAAGTTTTTTAAGTTTGTCTAGGTTTATAGAAAAATATTAGAAACATTTGCATCTCTAAATAAGTTTATTATAAAAATATATTTAATGATCTATCTAATGATACTAATAATGTATCAAAAATATTATTGTTTTTATATAAAATGATTAAAGTTGAAAATATTTGACTTCTTGTAAATGTGAGAACGACACTTTTTATGGATCGATGGAGTATGTCTTCGTAAGAGAATTTATAGCAATGGTGGTTGATTTTGGGGAAATATGGCCCCACGGCGAGGTAACAAGTTGATGTTGGGGGACGGCTGGGAACGATCATAGCCTCTTTGGAAGGAAGCCCACGGATACCTACAGCCCAAATGCTCCAAATGGTGATGGGCTTGAGGGCCTGTGTGTCAGACGCTCGCGTGGCGTGCGAACCGGATGGGCTACCTTGCCAAAGTGGGCCTGATAGTGTCGGTGTTTCGAACCACCGGCTTTTCCTTTAATGGAGCGTCCTGCTTTTCCTTTTACAGATGAAGGGGAAGGCGCAGGTTACAGAGAGAGAAAAGGAGAAAAGCGAGGGAGAAGAAGGCCTCAAGGGTCATGGACTTGAGGAAGTGGAAATGACTTTCATATCTAAGCATGGCTAGCTCCACTTTTACGAGCAAGATTTTTTTTCATACGGGTATTAAACCCTGGGTCGATGTGCCTGTACTATCAGAGCAAGGCTAATAATACAATCAGCAGGTCGGCTATAAGGATTTTTACAGTCTTCTCTCAGCCCACCCATATAGTAGTTAGCTCTCCACTATTAATACATGGCTCACTTGTTTCTCTCATAAAGTTTCTCGGTTTTTATTTCTAAGCAGGCCGTAAGCTTACAACCCGCTGCTCTTTTCTCTCTTCTCCTCTCTCTCCTCCACCTCAGCATTCAGGCGGCTTACAGCCTGCTATTATACTTTTCTCATGTGTCTCCTTTTTCGAGTGATACACTACACTACCTCTTAAATGATTTTCAGTGACGCCTTTTTATTTCTCCTTTTGTTTTCCAGATGTAGATCGATTGCTGATTAACGACCTGTTTGGCAGGGCTCCTGTGGCTCCGGCTCCCGCCTCTGTCGGCCTCCCACGGGCCGATAGGTGCCAGGCGGAGCCGGAGCCGCGGAGCCCGAAAATCGAGCTCCGCCGGCTCCGCCTGGGGTTGTGAGAGAGTTAAAGAGGAGAGAGAAAAATGGCTCCGGCTCCCTGTCGGCCCATGGGCGGCTGACAGGGAACCGGAGCCAGCGCAGGAGCTCTGCCAAACAGGTCTAAGAACTTTTTCTAGAGGTGTCTCCAGGATGCTCGAACCAGTGGACCGCTCTTGAGAATTACTAGTTTCGAAATTAAAGATGGCCGGCGGCCTTCCAACCACCAATAATGAAAATAGCCTCCATATTACTAGAAGAAAAACCCGGCGGCCTCTATTTAACGGGTGAAATCCCAAGAGGCGAAAACAAGCTAGTTAGCACAGACGAGAGAGAGAGAGAGAGAGAGAGAGAGAGGAGGAGGAGGAGGAAAAAGCTAATAATAAGGTGGTCGTTCATGGCTCCGATGAAGCTGTACGGTGCGACGGTGTCGTGGAACGTGACTCGGTGCGTGGTGGCGCTGGAGGAGGCCGGCGCCGAGTACCAGATCGTACCCATCGATTTCGCCACCGCCGAGCACAAGAGCCCTGACCACCTTGCCTGCAACGTACGTCGTCGTATTGTACTGTCTTTTTATTTGCCCGGCCGGCCGGTCGTCTCTCCCGGCGGTCTCCATCCCCTGCTGCTGTTGCTGCGGGATCTGATCTGATAGTTAAAATTCATCACTGTCCAGAGTATTGATATGATTTACATATATTGTGTTTCGATCTCTCCAGCCGTTCGGTCAAGTTCCAGCCTTCCAAGATGGCGATCTCCACCTATGGGGTACGTACGTATGATCCTATCATACCTCTTGGACGGAGAGTCGGAGATCCTATATATACAACCTCTTTGTAAATATGACAGTAGTACTAGTTTTCATCCCTGCCATGCATCACAAAATGGTATTTTTCCCAGAATCGCGTGCAATTTGCATGTACGTTGCCCGCAAGCACAAGCCTGACCTGCTGAGGGAAGGCAACCTCAAGGAGTCAGCAATGGTGGACGTGTGGCTGGAGGTGGAGGCCAACCAGTACACCGCTGCACTGAACCCTATCCTGTACCAGTGCCTCGTCAGCCCTATGTTCGGGGGCACCACTGACCAGAAGGTGGTGGAGGAGAACCTGGAGAAGCTGAAGAAGGTGCTGGAGGTGTACGAGGCGCGCCTGGCCAAGCACAAGTACCTCGCCGGAGACTTCCTCAGCCTCGCCGACCTCAACCACGTCTCCGTCACGCTTTGCCTGCTCGCGACGCCCCATGCTTCTCTGTTCGACCCGTACCCGCACGTCAAGGCATGGTGGGATGGCCTCATGGCCAGGCCGTCTGTCCAGAAGGTCGCCGCGCTCATGAAGCCGTCTGCTTGAAGTGAGCTGTGTTCGTACGTTCCTGGAATAATAATATATATAAGCCGACGATCGAGCTGTGTCCTGGTTCTCGATCGATCGGCATGTTATCTAGCAGGTTGTTGTGTTGAATAAGCTAGCCGAGTTGTATGTGATCCTTTGAATAATTGCACTGAGAACAACGTCGGCATGTTTTCGTGTCTTGAGAATAATATAAGCTATGTGTTTGGTATATATAGAACCTTCTCATTTAATCAAGATAACTACTACTCCCTCTGTTATAAATTCAACTCGTTTCTAGATTTTCTAATATTATAGATATATTCTATATCTAGATGCATGCAAAAATTATCTACCTAAAAAAGTCAGACTAGCTTACAATTTGGAATATTTCACATGTATAAATGATGGATGTTAATGCACATGGAATGCTTAA